AAAGAATTTGTAGGCATATATATACACAACCAATCAACATAGATACTAGGCTGGGGAAGGCAGGAGAGGGGTGGGAGTAAGAAGGATGGGGTCAATGGGGGAAAATAGGAGGACATCTGTAATACTTTCACCAAAAAAATAAAATGGAGATAAAGCTCTGGCTGAGTGGCTCACTTGGTTGGAGCATTGTCTCATACACCAGAAAGGTCGAATGTTCCATTCTTGGTCGGGGAACATGTCTGGATTGCGGGTTTGATCCCCAGTTGGGGCACACGTGGTAGGCAGCTGATTGATGTTTCTCTGACGCATCAATGTTTCTTTCTCTCTTTCTCCCATCCCCTCTCTCTTTAAAATCAGCAAAAACATATCTTCAGTAAAGCTTAAAAAAAGTGAAGATAGAAAACATGAAAGAAAATCAGTCAGAAATGAAGGATACAATAACTGAAACAAAGAATACATTACAGGGAATCAACAGTAGTGCAGATGAAGAAGAGGATCAAAAGAACAATTTGGAAGATAAGGAAGCAGGAAATAACCAATCAGAAGAGCAAAAAGAAAAAAGAATCCAAGAAAATGAGGATAGTTTAAGGAGCTTCTGGGACAACTTCAAGATTCCAATATTCACATCATGCTAGAAGGAGGGGATACTAGAAGCAGAACAGAGACAGAACAAGGAATTGAAAAACTATGTAAAAAAAATAATGACTGGAAACTTCCTTAACCTTGTGAAGGAAATAAACTTACAAGTCCAGGAAGCGTAGAAAGTTCCAAACAAGATGAATCCAAAGAGGCCCACACCAAGGCACATATAGTTAAAATGCCAAAACTGAAAGACAAAGACATATTTTTTTAAATATGTTTTTATTGACTTTTTTAGTGAGAGAGGATGGAAGAGGGAGAGAGAGAGAGAAACATCGATGAGAGAGAACCATCGATTGGCTGCCTCCTACACGGCCCCCACTGGGGATTGAGCCCACAACCCAGGCATGTGCCCTGACCGGGAATTGAACCAGCTACCTCTTGGTGCATGGGACAATGCTCAACCAACTGAGTCACACAGGCCAGGGCCCAAGAGAGAATCTTAAAAACAGCAAGAGAAAATCAGTTATTTACCTGCAAGTTGCTCCCATAAGACTGTCAACTAATTTCTCAGCAGAAACTTTGCAGGGCAGAAGGATTGGCACAAAATATTTAAAGTGGTGAAAAACAAGAACCTACAACCAAGATTATGCTACCCAGTAAAGCTATGATCTAGAATCAAAGGACAGATAAAGAGCTTCCCAGACAAGAAAAAGCTAAAGGAGTTCATCTCCACCAAACCAGTATTATAAAAAATGTTAAAGGGTCTTCTTTAAGAATAAGAAGAAAAAGATTCAAAATATAAATAATAAAATGGCAATAAATACATATCTATCAACAATTATTTTAAATGCAAATGGATTAAATGCTCCAATCAAAAGATATATGGTGGCTAAACAGATCACAAAATAGGACCCTTACATATGCTGTCTACAAGAGACTCACTTCAGATCAAAATACACACAGAGACTAAAAGTAAGGGGATGGAAAAAAACATTTCATGAAAATGGAAACAAAAAAAAGCTGAGGTAGCAATACCTATACCAGAAAAAATAGTCTTTGAAACAATCAAAGAAGGACCTTGTAATTCCACTTCTGGGTATTTATCCCAAGAAACCCAAAACACTAAATTGAAAAGACTATGCATCCATATGTTCACTGAAGCATTATTTATAATAGCCAAGATATGGAAGCAACCTAAGTGTCCATCAATAGATTAGATAGAATGGATAAAGAAGTGGTGCAGATATACAATGGAATATGACTCACACATAAAAAGAATGAAATATTGCCATGTTCATGGCAACATTGATGGACCTAGAGGGTATTGTGCTTAGTAAAAGAACTCAGAGAAAGACAAATATCATATGATTTCACTTATATGTGGAATCTAAAAAACAAAATCAACAAACAAGCAGTACAGAAACAGACTCATAGTTACAGAGAACATTTGATGGTTGCCAGATGGGAGGGAAGTTGGGGTGATGGGTGAAGGGATTAAGAAGTACAAATTGGTAGCTACAAAATAGTCCCAGGGATGTAAAGTACAATATAGGAAATATAGTCAATAATATTGTAATAACTATGTGTGATGTCAGATGGGTACTAGACTTATTGGGGCGATCACTTCATAAGTTATATAAATGTCTAATCACTGGGTTGTATACCTGAAACTAATATAATATTGTACATCAACTGTAATCAAACAGTAAAAAAATTTAAAAGAAAAAATATTTAGCAATTAGTAGGTTCTTTCATTTGGTTATTAAACAAATATTTATTGAGCACCTGCTATCAGCCAATTACGGAGCAAGCACTTTGTAAGCAAAATCACCCTGCTTAGGGTCATTGATGTAACTGATGATCTCTGTCTTGGCAAATCTAATGGTCAATGATCTGTTCTTAATTTACTCCCCCTCTCAGTAGATTTCACCCTCTTTCCTTCTTCAAATACTTTCTTCTCTAGTCTCCTGAGATGCTGTTAGCTCCCGCTTTTCCTTTCATCTCCCTGGCTATACCTTTGCTGTACCACCTGCTGGCTCCGGACCTTTCTTCTCTACATACATTCTTGTCCTAAGTGATCTCCAGTCGTGTGACCTAGTACCATCTAGATGCTAATGACCCCAAATCTACATCTCTAGTCCCCTCTTGATCCTGAGCTCTTCACTGGATCATACCCAAGTGCCCGTGTGATAGCTCCAGCTGGGTGTCCAGCAGCCATCTCAGAGCTATTAACTTTCCCCCACTGTCCCCACACAAAAGCTGTCCTTCCTCCAGTCTTTCCATTTAGTAAATTGCATCATTTGCTTGAGCAAAAATCTAAACATTAGCAACTGTGTTTAGCTTTATGTAACAGAATCTAACTGAATGAGAGAGCAGTTATTTTTTTTTCACATAATTAGAGGACCAGAGGCAGACAGACCAGGGCTGTGTGGTGGCTGCTTAATGATAACAATATCCTGGGCTCTTTCTATCTTTTCCTTCACTGTCCTGATGGTTGCAAGATAGCAGCTCTTCCTCCAGCCTAGCATCACATTCCAATGGAAAGAAAAGGAAGGAATTAATAAGGTGGAAGAAATAGAGCCTATATGGAATTAGCAAAATACCCCAGAAATTCCCAATAGACTTCTGCTTATCTCTCATTGTCCAGAATTGTGTTTCAAGCCCCACCTCAGCTGCCAGAGAGGCTGGAAAATACAGCTCTTTAACTGGGCACATTGGTACCCTACACGAATCGGGGTTCTGACGTATGAGGACAGGTAGAGAGGATATCAGACAGGCAACAGCAGTGACTACTCTATCACCCAGACTTGTCTCTTTTCCTACACTTTACTAACAATCCGTCAGCAAGTACGATCAGTCCCAAAATACTTAACAGGTTCAATTGCTTCTCTTCATTTCTCCAAATCCTCACTTGAAAGACCATCACCTCTCACCCATATCACAGCAACAGCCTCCTGACTGGTCTCCCTCTTCCACACTTGTCTTGTCTATACTCTTTTCTTCACACAGTAGCTGAGGTAACTGTTTTATTATATTTTTTCTCCTTTATTGATATGAGAGAGAGAGGAAGTGAGAGGGAGAGAGAGACAGAAACATGGTTGAGAGAGAACATCGACTGGCCGCCTCCAGCATGCCCCCCACTGGGGATCTGACCCACAACCCAGGCACGTGCCCTGACCGGGAATCGAACCAGCGACCTCTTGGTGCACGGGTTGATGCTCAACCACTATCCACACTGGCCGGACCGAGGTAACTGCTTTAAAATACAAATATAAATCATAGCGTTCCCTTCTTAACTTCTACAGAGGGTCTGTCACAGTTTGGCTTTCCCCTTTAGGAGACCCTGAGATAAGCATTTGCATGCAACTCCTTTATTTGAGAGGGGCAGGGCACATGGGGTGGGGAGAACAGTGGTGAGACGAGGAAGGGAAGGTAGCCCAGAGAGGGTGGGATATCAAGCCAGCCTCCCCAGGGGAGACAGAAGCTTGCTCCAGGGGAGGGGCTGGGGCATGCTTTAAAACACTTGCCTTGGAATGATGTGAGCCAACAGGCAAGGGAAGGTACTTATACTCCAGCCCCCAAGAGTCACTGGCGTCAGCTCTCTCGGCTTGAGCACCTAATCCTGCATCTACCCCTTCCCTGACCAAGCTCACAGAAGAAGCCAGCATTTCTTGTATTTATCAGCCTTTCTGCTTATAGATTCTTTCATTTGAAGCAGAATCAGAAGAGGATGAAACAGCCACTTAATTTCTTTAATAGGAAAAAAGCTCAAAATGTAATTTAAGAATGATGAGCACCTGTCTTAGAAGTTTGCTAAGTTTTAGTCTCATTTGAAAGTAGCTAGGTTTTTGTGATACTCTCTGATCAAAAAAAAAAAAAAAGCATATAACGGTTTTAGTAAGAGGAAAACCTGCCCAGTCGGTGTGGCTCAGTGGATTGAGCAACGTCCCATGGACTGAGAGGTCCCAGTTCAATTCCTAGGGAGGGCGCATGCTCGAGATTCAGACTTTATCCCCAGTAGGAGGCATGGAGGAGGCAGCCAGCCAATGTTTCTATCTCTCTCTTCCTTCCTCTGTCTCTGGAAAAAAAAGTCAACAAAAACATATTTTAAAAAAACTACAAATCCCATAAGCCCTAGAGTAACAGCTGGTAGAGGAACAAAAACAGCTGAGGGTCTATTAGGGGTTGTAGTTTGCAAAAAATAAAAAAGAGGAAAATGTCGATTAGGGCATATGAGATTTGGGACATTTATTTAAAGTCAATATACACAAACAAGGTATACATTGTTTAATAATACTAGCAATTTAATTATATGTACATCTATAAATGGCATTACAGTAACTATAGCTCTGGAAGGTATAAATGAATAATAAGTAATTAACTTTGAATATATTTCTGCCTTTAAATTAGGTTGCTACTTATCTTCCCTTTCCTTTCTTCTTCAATTGTTCTACAAAGTAATCATTACAAGCAACTGCCAGGGCTGCCACCATGACCACAAATTAATTAAAATCCACTTCATTGTCCTTATTGGCGTCCACATCCTACATCAGCTTGTCAACAAGCTGGGGGTTTTTGGCACTAAAAGGAAAAAGAAAATTTCTAATTCTCAGGCTTTGAGACAACTAGAATCGTATCTTCCTTTTATCTATATTAAAGTTTTTATTTTCATTTTTAGCATCTAAGGACAATTCCCAAAGCCTACTTGCAGGAAGGTTTGAACCAGGCAGATTCTGAATGAGTCTTCATGAACTGCTGATGCTGAAAATGTATTTGCTACAGGACACCCCAGGTCCAAGGAGGCAGGCAGGAACATGGAAAGAGGTTTTCTACAGTCAAAAGGGGACAGTGTGAGTGGCTCTACCATTTACCAACAATGGGACTTTGAGCAAATCACTTAACATTTTTATATGTTCTTATATATAAAACGGGGAGAATAATATCTCCCCACAAATTTGAGGGATACTTCAACATACTTTTAAATGTGTTTAGCACCAGATTGCTATATTTAGCAAATAAAAAATACAGGACACTTAGTTAACTGAATTTCCGATGAACAACGAATACTTTTTTAGTATGTTGCATGGGACATACAATATTTTATCTGGCAGCCTTACTGAGCATAATGCCTGGCACCAAAAAGAGGCCCCGACAAAGGGCAGACTTTACAGGACGACTGCAGGAATGGGTGGGAAGTACAGCAAGGAGCCCACAAAGGGGATCAGGGTTCAGAGAGGGGAAGGCTGTGAGGCACCCGCCCTTCCTATGACAGGTGGTGGACGAAAATGATTCCAGAAGTAGCTCATTTCCTCCAGAAATTCCCGGCCGCCCTCTCATTAGCTGCCAGCCATTATCTGTTGGAAATGTAAACTGAATTGATCAAAACCAACTTGATCAAAAACAATTATAAATTTAACTTGAATAAATCAAGGTGCCAAGTTTGACCAACTGAGCCTTTTATTTTAAATGTTATATAATACAGTAGCCAGACTGAATTTGAAACAAACAAACAAACAAACAAACAATTCCTGGGGACTCCTAAAATCACTAAAAAAGGGTTGTGAAGAATTACTATATTAACATACAGTATGTGACTATCGTTAATAATACCACAGTGCATATTTGTGAGTTGCTAAGAGAGTGGCTCTTAAAAGTTCTCATAACAAGAAAAAAACATTTTTGTAACTATGTATGGTGACAGATGGTAACTAGACTTATTTTGGTGATCATTTCACAATGCGTACAAATATCAAATCATTATGTTGTACACCTAAAACTAATATAACGTTATATGTCAAGTATACCTCAATAAAAAAATTCTAGAAAAAGTATAAATTACCATTTGCTCTATCAATGTAATAAAGTAACATTATTTGGGGATTACAAAAAAAGAGAAGTTCTTCAAAAAATTACTGTTAAAAACCTGTTAATTTTAGCACTTGAACATGGGTCGGTGGGTCCTGAGGGATGGGCCAGCGCTGTTCTGAAGAGACGGGGGAAGGAAAAAGGAAAAGGAAAAACAAATGTCGTTACTTTAAGTTTTTCCTAGAGAGGGTGGGAAGAAGAGTGTTGCCATCACAGCCACCATCGTCCTAATACAGCGTTCGGACAGAATGTCGTCGTTCAAGGGCAGTACACTGTGCTAAGGATGCGCTGGCTCCGTGAACGGGAACGAGGCGGCCCATGCACTCCGCGGTGAGGTTCCGTGTGTGGCTGTGTTAAACTCCTGGCCATCTTGAGATGTGAATCAGTTTGCTACCCAACTGGTCACTGGCTAGACACACCCTTCCCATAAGCCCCTATCAGCTTGTGCTTGGCTGACAAAGCTCTCTAAGTATTTGTCATTCGTTAGAAAATTTGCCACCACAGCATAAAGTACCCCAGACTTCATTTCTGGCCCAGTAAACAATATTAATTTACAGACAGCTGGACAAATCTCCAGGTATAACTAGCATTAGTTATAGTTACTAGCTATTTAACTATAACTAGCTGTATCTTTGCTGCACCAGGATTTGAAGAATTGATGAGAACCTCAAATATAATTCACAGCACTTTGAAGCCCTAACCACAGGTAATACAGAAAAGGGCGCGTACAGAGGGATGTACACAGAACAAAGGTGTCTCATATTTGCACCCCTGTGTTTTGAATCTCCAAATGAATTCTACTGTCTGTGGCAGAATCCCAGGAGACGGTGCACAGAGGCTGTCCCTGGACGTGCACCTCATCCACCTTCGGCCCAATGGGGCAGAAAAGCTGGGGCTCACCGAGAGGAATTCCATGAGCTCTCTCTGCAGGAGCATCTTCAGTTCCCCCTTGTTGAGTTTGAACCTGTTCCCTTCCTTCAAGAGTCCCGGTGGAAGATTCTAATCATGGTGTCCATGGCCACCCAGCTTGGTGGGCACCTTGGCAGCAGACTGGCATCCCAGGGGCAGGCCACCAAACTCAGGGACCTGTTCAAAATAGGCAGGTGGGGAAACATTGGCTCTTTCATGAAAACAGAACATCTCATGTTCATAAGTTAGCAATCAGATGACAAATTCCAAGTCAGATTAAAACACAGGCTAAAAATAAAAAGAGGAAGAAAACACCTAACTTGGTACCGATTTGGCCAAGACACAGCTCTGTCAAAAGGTGTTCACAATTAAATTATACGGATTTATACCAAGGGCCCCACCTTGGCACACCTGTTCCCAGGAAGATGAAAATTACTGGAGGCAAGAGATTCAGATGGAAGTGCCCCTGTGCCTGTTTTATTCACCAGGTGGAACAGGTGTGAGCTGCTGTCCCCAGCGCCATCAAGGAGGGGTCGGTGCCCATTGTGAGCATCAGAGGAGAGGTAAACAGAAGGGGAAAGGAAGCCTTTAGAGAGCCCTCATTATCAGGAGTAGAAATGCAGTCAGTTGCTAGGAAGTTGATGAGGGGGGGAACTAAAAATAGAGGAGCAAAGAAAAAAAATCACTGGTTTAAACCTGGAGACAGCTCAGCAAAGCCAATGGCAAGGTCAAGAGAATAAACTCAGAGCAGACTGGTGAAACTAACCACCCGGCAGTTGTGCAGCTATAAAAAAAAGAATGAGGAAGCGCGTAGTGCACCGATTTAGAAAGGTACAAAGCAGGATCCCGGCTGTGTAAGAAGGAAATAAAAATGACAATATAAATGCGTATATACTGGCATTTGAGCAAGGAGTCACTGAGAGGACACGGAAGAAAGTAATAAAAGTGGTCGCTCTGAGGGGTGGGACAGAGGGTGGGACAGAGGGGTTGGGAGCGAGAGTCCTCATTTATAGCATTTCACTGGTTTTCATTTGTTCAGTTATAGGGGATGTATAGTCTAGTAAAAAATGAAAATAAAAGAAAGCCCAGAGCAGCTGTGTATACTGGAATCCACAGTGCAAGGCAGGGAGGGATTTCCAAGTGACAGCAACTTAAAGAAAAAATTTCACTAGAAAAATAAAGCCAGGCCCAGCTGGTGTGGCTCAGTGGACTGAGCATCACCCCATAAACCAAGAGGTTGCGGGTTCGATTCCCAGTCTGGGCACATGTTGGTCCCCCAGTAGGGGGCGTGCAGGAGGCAGCCGATCAATGTTTCTATCTCTCCCTTCCTCTCTTTCTTTAAACAAAATCAATAAATATATATTACAAACAAACAAACAAACAAAAATACCAAAGCTAGAAATTGACCACTGTGCCTGTCCTCTCAGAACTGAAATTTATTTACATAAAAAGCAAACCAGCATCTCCTTTTTACTTCCTTTCAACAAGCCTGTTGGTATAGAGCCTCGACCAGCCCATCCTCCTCCTTCTTACCACCTGAACACTTCACCAAATATTTTTGTTATTTTTTATTATTAAAGTGATAATGGTAAAGCAATAATAATATGTTAAATACTCAAGAGTATGAAATAAAAGTACAATTCTCCCTCCACCATTCCCCACCATAGTCCCCGTAGGTGAACCCTTTCTGGTGAAAAGCACAGACTGCCTGGCTTCCACTCTCACCTCTGCCACTAACGAGTTGTGAGATCCTGGGCTAGTCATTTACCACACTGTATCTCAGTTTCCTAATCTGTAACTACATGGGATAACAGTAGTACCTACCCAACAGAGCAGGTTAAATGAGTTAAAATATGAACATAGTAAGTGCTATATATATGTCCACTATTATCCTTACAAAAAGTATATATGCATATAACTTTTAAAATTATATATATTTCATATGTATCCTTAAGCATACATGTACATACTCAGAGTCAACATGTGTGCACCTTGTCTTTTTTCCATTTAATATGTACCTTAGAAATCTCGCTGTGTATACACATGTAGATCGACACCATTCTTCATTAGAGTTGCATAATATTCCACTGGATGAATGTACCTAGAGAGTCAAGAAATATTTATCAGGCACTTACATTATGCCAGGCCCTTTGTAAACCTGACAGAAGAAACTTGCCCTTGGAGCAAATGTTGTTGCTATTTTTATTGGGGTAGTGCTAAATATATAGGATGCAGGGAACAGTGACGACATCTTTTTATGTTGGGTCTTCCTATCCAAGAACAGCCCTATGGCTTCATGACCACACTCTTCTGGGTCTCCTCAACTCTGAATGCACTTTCCCCTCTCCAACTTTTTTTTTAATCCTCACCCAAGGATATACGTTTAGAGAGAGGAAGGGGGAGAGAGAGAGAGAGAAAGAGAGAGAGAGAGAGAGAGAGAATGAGAGAGAGATGCGAGAAAGAAACGTTGATTGCTTGTCTCCTGTACATACACCAACTGGGGATTGAACCTGCAACCTAACTATGTGCCTTTTGGTATATAGGATGACGTTCCAATCACCTGAGCCACCCAGCCAGGGCTCCCCTTTCCAACTCTTTTTTTTTTTTTTTTATCCTCACCTGAGGACATTTTTCCATTTTTTGTACAGACAGAGTGGGAGGGAGAGAGAGGAAGAGAGAGAGAGAGAAACATCGATGTGAAAGGGACACATCGAGTGGCTGCCACCCGCACGACCAACCAGGGCCAGGGACAAACTGCAACCAAGGTACATGCCCTTAGCGGGAACCGAACCCAGGTCTCTCCGGACCGCAGGCGGGCGCTCTAACCACTGAGCAAAACCGGGCAGGGCCCCTTTCCAACTCTTAAACATTGTTCCCCCCAGAGATTTCAGCTACTCCTAAAATTTTAATCACTCCCCAAAACATGTATTCTGGCCCAGATCTCTGCTCAGCTCCAGAACCACCTATACCAATTGTCTGCAGGACCCCCTTCCTACCTGAGTGTCCCACGAGCTTCTCAAATTCAATTATGACCAAAGCATGTTATCCAATTAATTCCACCCAGATTCTGGTACTATTTTTAAATATCAGTTGAACTCATCCATTTCTTTCCATTCTTTTTTTTTTGTTTGTTTGTTTTTTATCCTCACCCGAGGATATTTTTCCATTTTTTGTACAGATAGAGTGGGAGGGAGAGAGAGGAAGGGAGAGAGAGTGAGAAACATCGACGTGAAAGGGACACATCGAGTGGCTGCCACCCGCACGACCAACCAGGGCCAGGGACAAACTGCAACCGAAGTATGTGCCCTTAGCGGGAACCGAACCCGGGTCTCTCCGGACCGCAGGCCGATGCTCTAACCGCTGAGCCAAACTGGCCAGGGCCATTTCTTTCCATTCTTTACCACCTTCTGTACTTCATAAATCTTGGCTCTATTACTGCTTTTGCTGCTTTCTGTCTATTCCCTCCATTCTGACCTGCATCCCCTGTCAGAGCAGTTTGCATAAAACACATATCAAGGTCCCTACTCCTAGGCATTCAAACGTCTGACCCTGGCTACAAACTGACCGAAATGTTAGGTTCTCTCCTTCTTCTGCCTTTGTTCTGGGCTCACTACCTGAAATGTTAATTCTGTTCACTCCTTAAGGCTCAGTTCAAATGTCTCCTCTTGGAAGTTTGCCTGTACTCTTGCTAACTCCCCAAACTCCACCCTTGTCCTCTCTTATTGCTCAGAGCATCTCCTTCTCTTTTTTGTAATTGCATTTATCACACATTCCTGTAATCATTTTTTTCTGCCCATACACTCTTTACTCTCCAGACTTTGAGGGAATCCCTTGATGGCAGAACTGATATCTGGTTCATCTTTGCATTCCCCAACATTAACACAGGATCAAGCATATGATGGAAATGCTCAGAAATCTTTGCTGATGGATGGAGTGATAAGCAAATGACTTGGAGAGGGAAACTAAGATCTCCAAAGAGTTAAGCTTTGTCTAGTTTAACTGTCTAAAAAATTATCTGATTGCCTTTATTCCAAATAAAAAGTTGTGTTCATCAAAGGGACAGAAACAAACCAAGACAAAGACAGAGAGAGAGAAAAAAAAAGTCATTTTAAAAACTATAAAGTTTGAATTTGGAACTAAATATTACCAGGTTAAGCTGCTGACGTTATAAATATGCACTACAATGGGTAAGTAGTACAGAGTCCGCAGGTCTCAGCAGTATTACATTTAAGTGATATTCAACCATAAATTAATTTATTTGGAGAATTCAATTGGCAAGTAAAACTCTTAATAGAATAGATATTTAAAGTTGTAATGTATGCATATGCACCCCTATGTTCATTGCATTATTTACAATAGCCAAGATAAAGTAGCAACCTAGTGTCCATCAAATGATGAATTGATAAAGATGTGATATTTATATATATTTAAAATGGAATGTTACTCAGTCATAAAAAAGAATTAAATCTTGCCATTTGTGACAATATGGATGGACATGGAAAATATTATGCTAAATAAAATTAGTCAAACAAAGACAAATTCCATATGCTCTCATTTACATGTGGAATTTACAAAACAAAACAAAGCAGAAACAGATTCATAGATACAGAGAACAAACTAGGAGGCTGCCAAAGGGATGGGAGTGGGGGGAATGAGCGAAAAGGGTGATGGGTATTAAGAGATACAAACTTCCAGTTATAAAATAAATAAGCACAGGGAGGTAAAGAAGAGCATAGAAAATGTAGTTGATAATGCTCTAATAACTTTGTATGGTGACAGAAGGTAACTAAGACTTACGGTAGTGATAATTTCATAATGTATATAGATATCAAATCACTATATTGTACACCTGAAAATAATATAAATCAATTGTACATCAATAAAAACAAATTGAAATGGTAATTGTAATATGATGCGAGAGATGAGAATACGGCTTCTATAGCCTTTGTTTTACTTGGTTAAATCTTGGTTTTAAAAACAGACCTAGGGCTCCGGCTGGTTTGGCTCAGCGGTTAGAGCGCCAGCCGGTGCACCAGGGAGTCCAGCCTTCGGTTCCCACTACGGGCACGTACCTGGGTTGCAGTTTGTCCCCGGCCCCAGTTTGGGGTGTGAGTGGCAGCCAGTTGATGTGTGTCTCTTTCTCTCTTCCTCCCTCTCTCCCTCCCGCTCTATCTGAAGATAAATGCAAAAATAAAAAAAAAATAGCTAGAGGTCCTGCTGGAGCGGCTCAGTGGTTGAGCGTTGACCCATGCACCAAGACGTCACCAGTTCAATTCCTGGTCAGGGTACATGCCCGGTTGAGGGCTCGATCCCCAGTGGGGCGCATGCAGGAGGTGGCCAGTCGATGTTCTCTCTCATCGATGGTTCTATCTCTCTCTTTCCCTCTCCTTTCCTCTCTCTCTAAATTCAAAAAAGAAAAAATTTTTTAATAAATAAATAAAAATAAAAACAGGTAGCTATTTCCTTTGTACATGTTGCCCCCTACTGTCCAGCTGTGGGAGTGCATCTGGAAGCCCTCTAATTCCCCGAACATGCCTGAAAGTG